GGTCAATGCTTCCCTTTCCAAAAAGCAACCAACTACAACAGTCAAAGAGCACCTTAATTAGGAGAGCTACTACTGGTAGTTTGCTTTCATCAATTGCTCATCATCACGGAACAGCTTATCTCAAAAAGAATTTGTGAATTACTTTGATAACGCACATCAAAAAGATTTGAGTAAAAATCAAACAAACAAATATTGTCTTAGAATATCGAGACTTAGTGATCGTGAAATAATGATCAAGTTTACAAATCTGTAACATAGCCAATGGGACGTACTCTTTATGAAATGCAATAAGAACAACTTCCTTCAATTTCTTTCAATAGCACATGAAAAACAAAGCAAACAATTTACTCCTCTTAACTTGTAAACTTATTGACTGGGTTTTGAAGCAAGTCACTAGTGATGGAAGAAGAGGGATCAGATGGACTTTGACCAGTGTCTTGGAAGATCTAGATTATGCTGGTGATATTGCGCTTCTTGCCCACCGACACCAGGACATGCAGACAAAGACCGACGCCTTGGCAACTACAGCAGGGAGCTTGGGCCTTAAGATCAATACCAAGAAAACAAGGCACCTTAGGATGAATAGTAGAGCCAATGAATCCATCATGGTGAATGGGGATGTAGTAGACGAGGTTGATCACTTTACTTACCTAGGGTCCAAGGTATCTACCAGCGAAGATGGTGAAGAAGAGATCTAAGTCCAGATTTCAAAGGCAAGTCAGGCTTTTGCTGCCCTTCGGGGCACTTGGAGATCCAAGAACATCAGCCAGAAGACTAAGATCCGACTCTTTAAGAGCAATGTCTTAAGCACTCTACTGTATGGCGCAGAATCCTGGAAGATGACCAAAACCATCAGTCACAAGCTAGAAGTCTTCCAGAACAGGTGCCTGCGTAGGATTCTTCGTATATACTGGCCCCAGACATTCTCAAACTACGAGTTGCGTAGAAGAACACGAACAGTATCAATCACAGTACCAATCACACAGCAAGTCCAGAAGAGATGGAAATGGATTGGGCATGTGCTGCGCATGCCACCAGCAGCACTACCACGAGTTGCTCTCAGATGGACCCCTGATGGACGTAGGAAGAGAGGAAAACCGAAAGAAACCTGGAGGAGGACGGTGGAAAGGGAAATGAAGGACAACAACTGGACTTGGGGGCACCTGGAGCGGCAAGCACCCGCCAGACATCAATGGCAAACTCTGGTCGAGGCCTTAAGTGTCTCTTAGTGACACGGATAGGATTATGATTATTATTAACTTGTAAACAACCCTTAAGAGAAATAAAGTCAAGTAGAACTTAAATCGGTTAGATTTCTACGGATTGTGTAACATGAAAAATGGCTAAAATATGAACATCATTCTCATAAAGGGTAGTAAGTTTCTTTGCAATAACAAATAAAATCCACAAGTATCAGAAAAGAACCAAAATATCACCCAGGCCAGACAAATCCATCCGATTTGAACACTTCCTTTCATTTGTGGAGGCCTCCATGTATGTATGTATTTACAATATTTAGACAGGCCAGCCCAGTTCAGCTTGAAGCTGGTTTAAATGCGGGCCTGTACATCCCACCCCAGGGGAGGACATCCATCACACAGTAACCTCGTGTGTGGGAAATTAACGTCTCCTACCCCAGCCCTGCGGGAGACAGGACCTTCATTTATTCGTCCCTATCTGAGAAGACTAGAATATCTAACCATTTCTTGATGTTATAGAAAGGTAGCATATTCTTCTCAAATTCTTCCATCTGATTAACGACACTTCCCACTCTCATTTTTTGTTATGTAATGTTACCTAACTTAACCATCTGTAATGGGTTGTTCATGTGATGCGAGGGTGTGTGCATTTAACAAATTGACATCAATTTTGCTTTGTCTATAACCTTATTGATCATAGAAATGACGTGTTCAAAACTTACCTGAAACCACAAGGTGCAGCTGAGTGGTTTCACTACAAAGTTTTTGAACATGGTTGACATCAATTCTATGATCAATAAAGTTATAGACGATGGAAAATTGATGTCAATTTGTTTTTAAACAAAAATTGTGATTTCATTAGGCCTGCTTATGCAACTAAGTTTTCAGAAATTCATGCGCGTATGTTACGAACCAAGAATTTTCCTCTTATTTTCTTGTTTGTGTTCCTCCACGTTTTTGTCTGTTTTAACCAATTCTTCAAAACTTTCTGCTTACATCCCAGTCTTAAAATTGGGAAACTCTTCACTGTCCCTATTTCTAAAATTTGCAAATGTTTCCACACGAATAAGTTTTCCTCCAACAGATTGCCAAGGATTGCCTGACATGATACATCATTTTTATGATCTACAACCTTATTGATAATGGCTCTCAACAAATTCTCAACCAATTCGGTGGAAATTCTCTCAAAGAATTTCCACCGTTATTGTAAAATTCACAATGAAGGTTGGCTGACTTACAAAATTTTGTTCCCTGTCTAACAATATTATAACTAGTTTTCAGCAACACATTTGTACAGAGGGGACAGTATTTTTATTCATTTTCTTTGACAACACATTTAATCCACAGGCACAACAGTTGTCTTTTCAGACACATAAATACCATCCAAGAACATACGAATGTCTTTGTTCTTTACCAGAGTGCACTGGTGGATAAGAGCAGCTGAAAGAGAAAGAAATTCAAAGCTCTCAGAAAGGGTTTAAATTACCAGGTAATTTAACAAGAAAGTTAATAATAGAGGGCAAAAAAAAAGGAACAAGTCTGATTAGATATTAGTTTTCACCAGCAGTAAAATCAGAATCAAAATGATGCTTGTCTACTACCTTGTGACATTCACATCACTCCTAAAGAGTGTCCAAAGCGTGGTAGACTCTCAAATTCAAGAGTCTCATTGTTCCCATGTCATTTCTCTTCACCCTTTTAACCCCAAAATCAGTTCAGTTGAACCTTGAGTATCCGGACTTTTTCTCTGGTCCCAATTTTTTCATGAATATCTATTAGTTCTGATCAAAATCTGTAGCCATATTCTTTTTAAAACTACAGAATTGAAAAGTGAAATAGAGGCAATGTTCTTCATTTTGTGCAAATGTAGAAAAATTTTTCATTAATTTCAATTGTTAATACACACGTGTAGAGGCATTCATGTAGGACAGCGAAGATGTAGACCATATCTTTTTGAAAACAATTTGTAAATGCTTTGTTTCAGTATTAAATCTTGCTTTCTTAATTTAATCAGTTTTTGTTCCTCATTAATATTCATATTATCGATTATCCGGCCCCTCGATTATTCAGACTACCGCATTTCATCTCATCCAAACGAGCCCAGATAATCAAGGTTTGACTGTATTCATATTCTCCATACTATTCTCTATATATTTCCCAAGGTGCTGACAAGGAGAATTTGTTTAACAATCAAGAGCTTCTTTGGTTGGGGATCATTTCCTTTATTCTCCTGACCTTTACGTGTGATTCAGGGGTGATATTGTATGGAGAAATTAGGTGTTGGTCACTGTGAGGGTTCATTCCAGTTATGATTCATTTGCTCATAATCAAGTAAAAGCTACATTTGGTTTAATCGAATAAATCGGTACTGTAACTTAGCCAACAGAGAGTTTCTAAAGTCATTTTTTCAAGCATTATAAAGGGCTACCACTTGCAGGGCTAACGTTCCAACATCAGCTTTAGAAACACTCCACCGTGGCTAATTTACATTACCAACTCAGTTAATGAAACCAAATTATCTTGTAATACCCTCCCACAGAACAACCAGCTGGAGAAAAAGAAAAAAAAATGGATGTCACACTAGACTCCCCTATCACTGCATTGTGTTTGTGAGAAGACACTCTTTTCCTGCAAATCATCTCTTCACCCACAAACAAAACTGGGATCTGCCATTCGTAGATGCATGCTACCATTTAGTACCAAATCTTACCAGAGTTGGAAACCAGCTCAATATCATTCCCTTCCAAGACGATCTCATCCTTCACAGAGGAATTCACACATGTGACACCGGGCCTCATTCTCACACGCCTTATGTACTTCTCACCAAGGAAGTTACGCACCTCTACTAGGGTGTTATTCTCAGAGACAGTGATGTTAATTGGGAAATGAGCATACACTGCCTTCATCTTGTACCTATAACCCTGAAGCAATTGAAATGACAATGTAAATTCAAAATACAACATTTTATAGTGCGACTGGATAAAATGACATTTGTCTCTAGAAATAAAGTAAGGCTGAACTTGGATATATCAAGCTCTTCCGCAAAGCTTAAAAAAAGAAATCTTCGAAATAACCAATTTCCTTTACCCCTACCTCTGGCAATGAGTTCCAGAGTCGTTAACTCATATATAAAAAAAAATGTAATCCCTTTGGCACAACTACAATCTAAGATCCCCTTCACAAAAGCTCTCTTGAATATATTCCATTTGTAAAAAAATTAATAACATCAATATCATCTTGCCATAGCTGCTGAATAGGGAGAGAAATCTGCCACCTTTCTTAAGTCAAAACTCAGAGAATTTCCACACTTATTACACAACATCCCAAGTGGTTTTGAATGATAGAGAACACTGCTTGATTTTAAGCCAATTTCCCAAAATCAGATATTCCTCTTCCATTAATAAAGCTAGTTCTACAGATGCCCTTCAGATTGTTAAAAGAACGCAATAAAAACGTATTCAACTTTTTTTTCCTTGTGAGAAAAACATAACCCCAACTTTAAAATTCAAAACCTCATGATAACCCAGTTTGTAACTGCTGAATCAAACATATAGTTGTTTAACTCTAAACAGAGAATCTAAGCCACAAATTTAATCATCATCTACTTTCTCTCTATAATTCTACTTACATAGATAACTCCCTTGATCAGATTTTCAACGTGAGTACAAATGGTTTTAACACAAGCCAGCTGTTTGCGTTTTGCAAACCATACGTCAACACGCAGCTTTCTCTTACTCAGCAGTGTCAGCTCCAGGTTGAGATGTCTGAAACTTCTTACAAGGGTACCACGTGGTCCTTTCACTGTCACTTCGCGGCCCCTTAGCTTAATCGTGACTGCAGACATAAAATTAAAATTAAAAATTCTTGGATACCCAAAATTCTTGAACTGCTATTCAGATATATCTATTATTTTAAGTTCTGAATAATTTGAGATGTACTTTTTTTGAGGTGGTATTTTATCAAACAAGGTTAGTTTTTTAATGATCATTTTCAGATATAGCATTTATCCATAAACAACCAAATGAAAGACGTATGTTCATAAACATTTGTTAAACTTAATTTAATTGAAACAGGATCTTGTTTTGTTTCAACTCTCAACAATACAGCCAAGTTGACAAAAAAGAAAGAAAGGGAAGTTACCATTTTCAGGAATGTCAACTGTGGCATTTGCCAGAATGGTCTTCATGGCTGCAAAAAATCTGAAACAAAAACACAAATAAGAACTTAACCCTTTCTCTCCAAGATCTAATTAGTAATTCTCCTTTCTGTCTGCCATACAACTCTTGTGATGTTAAGTTGGAGTACTTGGTTTTGGGTTAACTAGTGATCCCCCAGTTTACATATCTCTTCATCTGTGAGTTTAGCGCTAAAGAGTATTATACTAGTTGGATGACAGATATTGTAAGCTGAATAATGTACTTCCGATCAATCGCATGTAAAGATAGCAAAATCTAATGTACATGCTTCTTCTTCAAACAGAGTATTTCAGATACATTTTATTTGAGGATATATTTTATCAGGGATATATCTCTGTTTTTGCACGGTCTCGCACTGTAGACGTGATTTCTGTAAACACGGTACATGCGAGTCAACCTTACCAATGAGAGAGAATATTGTACGTCACTAAGCGCTTAATGGTAGCAAAGAAGCTATTAAAACTAGAAATAAATTTATTTAATTCAAAATTACTTGCTAAACAGCGATGGATGATGGAAGGATAGGGTAAATATTACCGGATAGAAAACTACACTATTACCTTTGCTAAAGATGGAGTAAAGAGAACGACATGGGCTTTGGAACTGTGCTTAGTAGCCAGGCTCGCTGAAAATTCCTTCCCCTCCCGGCAGAGTAAGGAAGAGATCAGCAAGTAAACGAAGCAGTAACTCTTTTAACAAAATATAGGACAAACTACACAAAAAAATAGTGTTATAATGACTCAAAAATAAGTTCTGTTCATGTAGATTAATATTTCTATCACTGGGAATGGTTTTTATAAGAAAACATAACCAAAGACCACCCCTCCCTAGGGGGTTAGTGAGGTACCAGTACCCTCCTGAGGGCAAGTATATTGATTGAAAGTTGGGTTGTCGGCGGTCAAAGTTAGAGGCCATTTGTGTTATTTTGCGGAGAATGCATCAAGATGATGGGGCGAGAAGTTCCATCAAGATGTTCGCCAATATATTTATTTCGTTTATCGGCGCTGGAATTTTGGGAATGCCTCACGCTTTTAAAGAGGTAGGAATTTCAGAGATTGTACGCGATGCTTGCTCTCGAACTTGGACTGCCACGAACGCATATATTTTCACTGAGAATGAAAGTTGCTGTGAGTCTTTTATGATTGACATTTCTTTTCTCTTAATAGGCAGGAGTTATCGAGGGAAGTGCGATCATGGCATTGATTGGTACTCTAAGGTAAGATTTTTTTTTCGAAGTTATGACATTTTTCTCCAAACGTTAGAAATTTCGTCAAATTCGGTAGACGGGCTTCTCAGCTATTTCTTGTAGATTGAATAGCTCTTTCAAATAGTTCGCTTGAATTTTTGATAAAGACTGCCTGTAACCATAGCAGCCATCAATTATGCTGCTAAATCTTACAGTTCTTCCGTAGTCACCCATTATAAGATCATATATCTAAGGCTTCACTTTTTACTTCATTTTGACTTCCCTGCCCCTCTTTCTGTCATTACTTTCTTCATGTGATTGCATTGCCATTAAGTAAAGTTATGATCACTGGTTTGCCTGAACAATAACCGGCAGTTAATGACTAAGATTAACAAGGCTCGGAATTAATGCATTTAAAAACAGCTGAAACCCCTTCAACTGTTCAAGGATGTACATGAACAGGACCTATATTGCATGAAGGTGGTCCAATCATTAACTAAAACGAGATGAACTGCATTAATTAAGGTAGATTAAGTAATTAGCGAGTTTAATTTTTGAATATTTGAATAGTTTTGTAGTTAGTTATGTAGTTAGCCACTGACAGTGAGATCCTCCACTTGAGGTATATGTCACATATTTTGTGATTGGGTAAAAAAAACTGAAAGTACATACATTACTTAAAGCAGGTGTCTCCATAAGCATCGCTTTTGACTGTAGACTGTATTTATTAAGAAAAACATTGCAGTTAAGAAACTGAATTGCATCTATTTACAAGTAAGAAATAAGAAATTATCTATAACTACTACTATAATAAAATTACAAAGACGACTACTCTTAAAAATCACAATGCTTCCCTTGCACTCTTAACAATGAATGAATTTCCAAATCTATTTGTCTTTACAAGAGGCGTGGCAAACCTCCTCTGCCTTCTCAGCTCATATGAAATAGAAATTGAGGCGGGGAGGCAGGAGGCTGGAGGCTGGTAATCTTACCACATGGATCATTAACAATAGACTTCAACAGACATTCTGTTAAATTTTCCTGGTGGGCCCTGATGGACTCGAGCCCTGCTAACTGAATGGCGTATGATTAGTGCACCCTGGGAAAAATGCATGACAGGACCCTCCTTTGCGCACTTTCAAGCTCAACTTGAAGATACTTTGGTAAACTGTATGGAAAACAGGACAAGCGTAATCTAGTGAAGACCTAATACATGCAAAAATGTTATAAGATCTGAAGTAGGAACATGCACACCTTAAGTTGAATAAGAAAGTACAGTTGCTCAGACGCTTTCTTAACAAGTTCCTCTATATGGTCGTTCCACTTTAACGTATCATTGATTGTCAAACCAAGTAACTTTGTGCTCTGTATGGTTTGGATAGGAGATCCGTGTATGCAAACCCTAGGGAGTTGCGGGGGATCACGACTGAAGGATATAACTAATTCTTTAGTTTTCTTGCCATTAAGCTGGAACAAATTTTCCTTGCACCAGTCATAGATTGCCTCTACTGCTTCTTGTGACTTGCTCTGTTGGCCTTTAGGTATGCTCTCTGATACCATAGTATCATCAACATATTTCCACATGTTAAAGATACTTGGAACAGTCAAGTCATTAACCATCAAAAGAAAAAGCCAGAGACCCAACTTTGTCTCCTGTGGTACTCCAGACAGCACTGTGCTGCACTCTGAAAGGCAGTCCTTTCCAAGTTTGACTCTTTGAGATCTTCCTGAAAGGAAGTCAATAACCCAGTTGATCACACTGTTAGGAATATTGACCTACTTCAGTTTGTTGACCAAAATCTTGTGGTCTATGAGGTCAAAGGCCTTTCAATAATCAAAGAGGAGGACACGCACAGAAGCACCATTGCCATCCGTTGCTTCGAGCCACGTATGAATCATTCTAATGAGTGCCAACACAGTTGAAGAACCAGATATGGTACCAAACTGGTTGGAGTCAACTACGCTCTTTAGGGCAAGCTTTATGTAATCAGAAACAATAAAGTCCTCGGATATTTTCGAGAGGGTAGACGTGAGAGAGATTGGACGCAGTTCCCTTTTTGGGTTGGTGACTTGCTTCACCTTAGGCAGGGGGGTGACATCTGCAATTTTCCACATAGAGGGTAGTTTTTGCTCACTGTATAAAGTTTTCAGGATGTTTTATAATAGTATTTGACTAAAAATTTAATTTAAGATGAGCTTGGAAGTACATTTTTCCCAAAGATTTCTATTTTCCAAGCCAGTAGCTCTGAAGCTGTCTGAAATTGCAGGCTTTTTGTTGATGCTAATTTTCCATGATAATCCTTCCCTTTAACTCAATGCACATGGGTTCAATTGTAATTGTTTTCTCTTTAATTTATAAGTTTTTTCACAACTATTTTAGGTAATCACCTTTTTACAGCTAAGGGAAACAAACTACCAATTTCTCATGTAAGACCAAGGCAAGAACTTAGTGTGAGCAGAGAAAGAAAAAAAATAATTTGCTTAACGACTGAGCGGTAGGGCCTGATAGGAATATGTTTGGCTTGAGATGATGACCTTCAGACTAAGTGCAGCAATGTCTGTAGGTCGAAAATGAGAAGGAGGGTTTAACAGTTTATAATGTTGGATAAATACCTGTATGATCTTCTAGTCATTTATACTGTTGCTCACTGGAAATTCATATTTTGCTCCTTTCAGTGTAAAAGCAATGTTACTGATTATTGACTGCAAGAAAAAATTAACATGGAAAAAAATGGACCACGTAAATGGAGCCGTAATTTCAGTCGATGGAAAGGTTGCTTCAGAGGAGAAAGAATTATTGAAGTCCGCTGAAAGTGGAGAAGTAACAGACAAAGTAATGGAAGAAGGGGTGGATGATCACCTAGTCAGTATTAATAACATCATGGCTTTTGTTACTTTTACGGAAACCCACTCCACAGCATCTGAATCTCAGATGGTGTGTTGTTGCTTGTGGGAAGTATGGAGATCTGGTGCCAAGTATGCTGGAATCTGGAAGGGGAGGTCTGGATTATTGTGGGGGAAGTTGGATAAAACAATTTACTCTCCCCAATATCTCCTTGAACCCTCTCCTGAATGTATATGGTACTAAATAACTGTCAGGGAACTAGAAGTGCAAGGGGCTTTTACTTCCCAGTGGCAGATTGATTCAAGGGGCAAGAGGGAAGGTTTCAGATGGCATGACACCACCTCACATGTCTTTTCTCACTTCAAATATTTTTGTAAAGTTGCCACTTGATCAAAAGTGTGTAAAATTTTCTTTTGAAATTATTTCATAGCTTATTTAGGCTGAAATGTGAAATAAATTCAATGTTTTCTGAATCAAAGTTTGCCTTCCCCCCTCCTCCGTATCTTAAACCCTTGAATCTGCCCCTACTTCTGTCCCTACTTCTGATAGGCTAGTATTCCATCTGTGAAAGTTGGAAAAACTCTTGTTAATTTTTTGGTTTTTAAACAAGAATGATCCCTCTGTGGACATGAATAGGCTGGGACTCCAAAGACTTGACTTTTGTTATTACTTGATTTTACTCTTGGTTTTAGTTGAAGTAACCAGCTTCACACCATCTGAGAGTCAGAACAACACTTTGCATTCCAATCCATACATGTAACAAAATAATAACATAAATTTTATGATATTGATTTCAACGATCTTGACCACAGCAATGAACCATAATCCTTGAAAGTAACAAAAGACCAGCTAATGATTGATTACAGTAACTATTGACATTAGACAGCTTTTCCATTATCTTCAAACAGGTATTCTGACTTCTTTTAGGTGTAATGTCTATGCTAATGTTTATATTGATCTTAACAAAAAAAATTATATGAAAAAAAAAAAAGTCTGAAAACCATGAACACTCACTGACAGCAAATTTTTCTGGAGTATTACATGAATGTGTTCCATTCATTCACACTGAAGATCAGAACAGTTATCAAGTCTATTAAACCTTATAAATCTCATGAGTGATCAAGACAGAATTTCTCTTCACAATATTAATACATTATCAAATGAACATGTGATGAGAATAAAGACAAAATATCAACTAGTGGATTATCTGTTGATCAAACACCAAATTCTCTAAATTAACATTATAAGAATTGTATGGCAGTCAGTAAGGAGAATTCATAATGAGATCTTGGTAGTGAAAAGGTTGAGGGCTTCTTTTGACACAATTAAACATATTTAATCACTTATTTAACAATTTTAACCTCAAACGCATTTCAAACCCTAACACACCCTTATACCTAATGATTGATTATGAATAGTGAGAATATATGTCAAGATTGTGGCATGTTATAGGACAGAGGCAATTAATGTAGTTTACCTCTGGCAGAATGGAACTAATAGAATTACATTTAAAGAGGAAGAGGGAAAAGGGATGTTGAACTTGATAACATTTCTCAATTGTGTTTGAGAGAATAGGTGTGATATATTAAGTAAAAACATGCAAATACTTTTTTATTTACAGAGTACAGCCCATGAGATTGATTATGGAGATCTTGGTGAGTGACTTTGACTTAGCACTTTGTTTGATCTCACTAAAGAGGATGTATTTAGAGATGGACTTTTGCAACAGTTGAAGAAACTGTAGCAGACTTCCCTGTTAGCACTCTAGGAAATGTACAGAGATCAGTATGGAGAATATGTATTCTGATGTTAGGGTGTTAAGGGTCAAAAATTAGTGTAGAATTAATTGAAGTTCTCTGCTGGGTTGTTCGTAATTATTAAGTCTGGCTCTTTGTCCTCCTCTGGCTTTCTGTTTGTTTTGTTTGTAGTTTGTTTGGTTTTTTGTTTATAAGTAAAAGCAGGTGCTTAATACAGAACCAACACAACTCTGTTCTTGTTTCTTCAGGTTTTCATGCATTGGGAAATTCTGGCAGAGTCTTAGTTGATACAAGCATAGTAATTTCTCAAATAGGTGATTTTATGATTTTACTAAACAAATTGAATTGTTATTAGTACCATTAGTAGAATAAGTTGATGCATTTGTTATTTTACTTTGGTTTTTCCCACGATGGTTGGCTCATTTCACCCTTAAACACCTTAAAGCGACCAGCATCTAATTTCTCCATAGATTATCACCCCTCAATCACACACTTCGGTGTAAGTTTCGTACGATTTCATTCATGTCGATGGAAATCACTAAAGTTGCGAAAATCATTTGGCAAATAACACTCTGGTTCTACTGTTTGCAAAGTGATCATAATCTTCGTGATATGAACAGGTACTTCATTTAACATTCCATTATTGAGATGCTTCACCTAACTTCTGAGTTCCTTTCCCTTTTTGCAGTGTACGACAGTAACTACATCTTAGCTTTCATTTGATGTAAGTTTCACTTGAGAGGCTACACATTACCAAAAAGTCAATTCGCCTCAGGTGGCAAATTGACTTCAAGTGGTGGCAAGTTTTGTGGTGGCAAGTTTGCTGTGGTGGCAAACTGACCAATACCACAAGAATAATGGAAATGATCATCAAAAAGTATAGAGAACAGCATGCGGAATATGCATGCTGGTGTTAGGGTTAGGATTGTCAATGGCAGATGCACTGGAAAGCTACCAAATATGGAATGATAATGTATTCTTTGTTTTGTCTCAACAGGATTTTCTTGTGCATATTTAATTTTTATCTCAGATACCCTTAACAGCATGTTGCCAGTTCTCAGCAAGTGAGTTATCAGTTTTTTTGCTGCTTTCTTATTTTCTTATTTCTTATTTTTTCTTATTTAAATAATCATATTTTTGCACATCATTTTCATCCTACAAATGACAAGTTCACTACTTGAACTCAGGGTATAGATGGCATAAGGAATGTTTATTGTTGCCAGAGTAATGGATTGAAAAATATACATATTTCATTTTACTTAATTGTCAAGTTTTATTGGCTGAAGTTGTGCACTGTAAATCATGTTACAAATAATA